AGGGTATGTCTGCACTACCACCCTAGTTCGAACTAGGGTGGTTAATGTAGTCATATGAACTTGCAAATGAAGCCCGGGATTTGAATTTCATTTGCATGTTGCCGGGCGCCGCCATTTTTAAATGTCTGCTAGTGTGGACTCCGTGTCCGCGGCTACACGCGGCACAAACTAGATAGTTCGGATTAGGCTTCCTATTCTGAACTTTCTGTACGCCTGTACGAGGCGTTCCACGAGGTGTACTGATAGTTCGGAATAGGAAGCCTAATCTGAACTATCTAGTTTGTGCCGTGTGTAGCCGTGGACACATAGTCCGCACTAGCGGACATTTAAAAATGGCGGCGCCCGGCAACATGCAAATGAAGCCCGGGAAATTCAAATCCCGGGCTTCATTTGCAAGTTCGTATGACTACATTAACCACCCTAGTTCGAACTAGGGGGTAGTGTAGACAGACCCTCAGTGCCCCGTCTCTGTCTCCTGGGAAGCTGCTGCCCAAGCACTGCGCCTCCACCATCAGCAAGGCCCGGAACAAGAAGAGCCATAAACAGCCTCCCAAGAAGGGGGAGCCGGAGCGGGACAAGCCAGGGGCTGAGAGCCAGAGGAAGGACCGGAGTGTGGTGACCAAGTAAGCCCACAGCGTGGGGGACTTCCAGGGGGGCATTAGAGTCTCTTTGCTACCTGGGGGACTCCCATCCCTCAGATGGCTGGGGGGCTCCGGGGCAGTGAGGGGACGGGCTCTGGGTCGCCAGAAAATCTTGGGCTTACCAAAGTCAGTGGCAAAACTCCTGCAGATTTCAATGGGACCAGGATTTGACATAAAATGGGTATTTTATTTATCAAAACGTAAAGATAAAATACTGTCACTCTAAGGTGACGAACTACTTATGGGAGATGCAAGGTGAGATTCTGTTCTGGATCCAGGGATGGTGACAGATTTCTCCAGGCCCTGGACAAAAGGCAGGGGATGACTCAGTCCTAGACCCCCCCAGAAGAGGCAAGGCCTCGGGCATAAGAAGAGGGGCAGTGCGGTAGCCTCCCCCATGCATCCCTTGGCACTGCACAGACCACGCTACATGGGGCTCTGATGGCAATTTAAAGGGCCCAGCAATCCAGCCTCGGCTGCTGTCATGGCATTCCTTTTAAATTGCTGGACCCTTTCCCCCCTCGGTGTGCCTGTCTGGGAGTCTTGCAACTCAGGCAAACAGGGAGAGAGAAGGTGGGCACTTCCAGTCCTTGGCTGTGTCAGAGGCCCCCAGGAGAACT